TGGCATCCCATATAAGCACCGGTTCAAGTTCTGGCTGCTCCACTTCCAATCCAGCTCTCTGCTATGGCCTGGGAAAGCAGTAGTAGATGGCCCAAGTGCTTGGGTCCCTGCATCCACATGGGAGATCCAGAAGAAGCTCCTGGTTCCTGGCTTTTCCAAGGCCCAACCTTGGCCGTTGAGGGCATTTGGGGAGTGAACCACCAGATGGAAGACCTCTCTCTCCCTCTAATTCTGCCTCTCAATAAATCCTAGAAGAAAAAGAAAATACCCTAGTAATGAGTTAGACACGACTTATATTTTCCTGTTTATTCCTACACTGAATAATAATTCTGCTAAACATGATACTCAAAGTCCTTAAATTGACATTTAAATTCTGCTGTAAGTGCAGGAATGAGGATAATTCAGAATAAAACTAAGATGATATTTCAGAGAAATATGAAATTATTAGTAGCTGTCACAGAAAATTTATATGTAGATATTTTTATCTCTTTTTAGAAAAACTTATTTACTCGAAAGGTAGAGTGGCAGAGACAGACATGAGAGTCATCTTTCATCTGCTGGTTCATTTCCCAAATGCCCACAACAATCAGTGCTGAGCCAGGCCAAAGCTAGGAGCCAGGAGCTCCATCTGGGTTTCTCAGGTCAGTGGCAGGGACCCAAATATCTGAACCATTATCTGCTGCTTCCCAGGGCACATTAGCAGGAAGTCGGATTGGAAGCAGAGAAAGGACTTGAACCAGGCACTCAGATATGGGATGCAGGCGTTCCAAACAGTGGCTTAAACTGCTGTACCACAACACCCACCCCAGTATTAACTCATATTTTGCATCTTGTGTGCTTTTTACTATAATGTTTTCATCTAATTAAATTGGGATAAGATATGCAAACAAATATACTTAGCCCTGAAAAATCTCTTTTCTGAATGGTTATTACTACACAAATTACCTGATGACCTCAAGCTATTTTATCTAAAATTTCTTGAAGGTCAGAGCTATAACATAGGTTCTTAAAACTGTCAAAGTAGAAGATATGAAAATTTTCAAATTACATAAGATCTTGATTTATATCTTATGGAACATTTCAGTTAGATAATTGTGGTTAAAATTAATTTTACGGGGCCGGCACTGTGGCTCACTTGGTTAGTCCTCCGCCTGCGGCGCCGGCATCCCATATGGGCGCCGGGTTCTAGTCCTGGCTGCTCCTCTTCCAGTCCAGCTCTCTGCCGTGGCCCGGGAGTGCAGTGGAGGATGGCCCAAGTGCTTGGGCCCTGCACCCCATGGGAGACCAGGAGGAAGCACCTGGCTCCTGACTTCGGATCGGCGCAGCGCCAGCTGTGGTGGCCATTTAGGGGAGTGAACCAATGGAGGGAAGACCTTTCTGTCTCTGTGTCTAGCTCTGTCAAATAAATAAAAAAATTAATTTTAAACTGTCTCTTAGAGTTTTGTTTTTCACTATATGGTAATACATTTTTTTGGCTTAAAAAATAAAAAACAAGTATTAAAATACTATCAATCAAACCCTGAAGGTGTTTTCTTTTTGCTGTTTCAGCAAAGCCTTTCAGATTCTTTCAAATTAGTGTTAAACTACAAAGAGTTCTTTTAATCTTTTAGGAATTCTGGCAAAACCTAAATTCTCAGCATATTTTAATGATTCTGACTTGCTATAATCTAATGATTATAAGAGAAACAATAGAGGAGGCATTTATCAAAATACAAAAAATGTGTATTATCAGGCACTGTAAATGAACTGGTGTTATGTTGTTGTTCTTTATTTTCTTGAGAGGTGAAAAGACACAGGGAGACAGTGAAAGAGAGGAAGGGGGGAGGGAGAGCACTCAAGCACATTCCCATCTGACGGCTCACTCCTCAAATGCCCAGGGAAGCCAAGACTGGGTTAGACCACAGCTGGGAGCCTGGAACTCAAACCAGGTCTCACACACATGTGACAGGAACCCAACTACTGAGTAAGGAGCTAGAGCTGGGACTTGAACCCAGGCCCCTGGTAGTGAGCTGCAGGTAACTTAACCGCTAAGCTGAACATCCACCATTTTCTATATGTTCATTTTATTTCTGTCTTATAAAACTTGGTGTTGTAACTGCTAAGTCAAAGAGGATTTAGGAAAGGACACTGGGACATACACCAGATACATTTAAATTCTTATGAAATTTCATTTACTCCATGAACATCTAGTATCAAGTTAACATACAGTCCCACCTACATCCTCAACTGCATTGGTCTGAACATTCTCATAGCATCCTTTCACTCCAGTCAGATACAGTCCCTCAAATGTTCTTCTCATGCTATTATCTGTATGCGCAGAGACCTCTGGAGCTCTCTCGTTAACAGCTGGTTTCTGGGGTGTACAACTGGGATGCCTGCTTTGCTCCTGATTCCAGCTTCCTACAAATATGCACCCTGGAAGGTAGGAGTGATGGTTCAAGTAGATGGTTCCTTTCACCCATCTAGAAGATCTGGATTGAGTTCTGGGCTCAGCCTGACGTGAACCAGCAGACAGATGAAAGATCTCTATCACTCCCTCTGCTTTTCAAATAAATCAGAATTGGCTCTTAAGATTTTATTCATTTGAGAGGCAGAGTTACAGAGAGAGAAAAAGAGAGAAAGGTCTTCCATCTGCTTGTTCACCCTGCAAATGGCTGCAATGACCAGAACTGGGCTGATCTGAAGCCAGGAGTCAGGAGCTCCCTCTGAGTTCTCCCATGTGGGTGCAGGGGCCCCAGGCACCTGGGCCATCTTCCCATTGCTTCCCCAGGTCATTAACAGGGAGCTGGATTGGAAGAAGGGCAGCTGGGACAGGAACTGGCACCCATATGGGATGCCGGCACTGCAGGCGAAGCTTACCATACTATGCCATAGCATCAGCCCCCCAGAATTGGCTTTTGTCACCCAACATTCCCCAAGGCCTCCCACCTGTCTTAGCTACCCTTCATCCCAGCTTAGTTAGCTATTCTTTCTTTGGGTTTCCTTCAGCATATTCCGACATTATATTTAAAATTCCCAGTGAAGGATGCTGTAAGTTTTCTCACTTTTCCCAAAAGTCAAAAACACAAGTTTGTTTAGGTATTTATATATTTTTCAAAATTTCTGAATTCCTCAGCTCTGGGCCTCGTACACTATAGGAAAACAAATAAAATGTCTGCTAAATGAATGTACACTGATTATGTCAGAGCTCCCCACACTTTTTCTTTTTTTTTTGACAGGCAGAGTGGACAGTGAGAGAGAGACAGAGAGAGAAAGGTCTTCCTTTGCCGTTGGTTCACCCTCCAATGGCTGCCCTGGCCGGCACACTGCGCTGATCCAAAGCCAGGAGCCAGGTGCTTCTCCTGGTCTCCCATGGGGTGCAGGGCCCAAGCACTTGGGCCATCCTCCACTGCACTCCCTGGCCACAGCAGAGAGCTGGCCTGGAAGAGGGGCAACCGGGACAGAATCCGGCGCCCCAACCGGGACTAGAACCCAGTGTGCCAGTGCCGCAAGGCGAAGGATTAGCCTAGCGAGCCGTGGCGCCGGCCTCCCACACTCACTTTTTATCCAATAAAATATAAGTTTATATTTTACAAAAATGGAGGAACTAAGGCAGGAAGGAGTTTGCACCAGAGAACTGTTAGCAAAGATTAACAGGAAAAAAAAAGAAACAATCTTCCATTTTGACTAATTAACATTCCAGTTCTTTATAGAACAAATGAGTCTCTAAATCATTCTCCAAACACAAACATCAAATTCCCAGTTTTGCCCACAGAGGATTTAGCTTTTCTTATTTAAGGATTCAAAATCATTAAAACCAGCTCTCTCTCATTCCCCCACAGAACTCTGGCACAGCCAGGGACTAATCTAAAAAGCCAATAATAGAGACACGTGGAAGGGTTTTCCTTTACTCATGAAAACTCTCACTTCCAGCTACCCACGTCACAGTTGGCTAATCCTTTAGCACTGATTCAACCAGAAGAGCCCTTTTCAAAACAAAGCAAAACAGGACCTGACCCTGCTAAGTTTGAATCACCTGAGATGACCAACTTGTTCTTGAATTTCTTACACTTTGCACAGTGCTAAGGGCCTCCCGATTCCCCGTTCTTGCTCCATCCTCCTGCAAAGGCAGCAATATTGGAGAGGAGGCACAATCAGTCCAAGGGTCAAAGTGCAGCTGGGGCCAGTTCTCTATACAAAAAAGAACCTTCTATCGTCTACAGGTGTGTTTCCTTCACTCTCAACTGGTTCCTATTAGCAGAAGAGTGCAGGAGAAAAAGAGGAACTTCAGCGCTGATTATAACTAAAGCTGATCCAATGCAGCAGGGATAGGAAGTAAAAGAAAATAACTTCTGAGCAACACTTAAAAATTCCTTAACATATGGTCTTTTTCCTCTTGAACGGATTCAAAGTGCTTCATAGAAATAGTAATACTCCTAACAAACAAGGATAAAAAGAGCTTGTTACATATGGAGAAACCAGTACTGGATTGAGTACTAAGACTCGAATTTTGCCTCTGTGGCAAAGCCACCCGCGAGACAGCAAGCTGGAGTCCCCGAAATTAAAGGCAGTCCCACTGACAGAACAGAGAATGCCTACAGAAGGGAAAAACAAACAGAAGAGAAAGGTCACTCCAACTGATTTCAAACCAAATAAACCCTCCAACCCTAACCAATGCAAAGGAGAGCCGCCTGGCCACAGAACACAGTGGAGTCTGGTTTTGACACTTCATTTTCCCACGGTTACCCCTGTGGTTTATTGTAATCCAAAAGTGACAAGAAAACTTTGTGATACAGCCAGAGCTGCCTCAAAAGGCAGTTTGCCTACCATAATGCCCCTAAGTAAAATATTTCAGGGGAGGCCTCATTACTCGCAGGGTAATTCCACTCGATCGTTAATTTCTGGGGTGGAGAGAGCCGTCTTGCAGTCAGGGAGACTTGGGTCTAATTTCTGGCTCTGTCCTTACGAGCCCGAGTTCTCTCCTCCAAGAAGTCCTAATTTCTGAGTCTCGGCTTCCTTACCTTCAAACCGTCGCTAGTAACAACTGCTTAGTAGGTGGGTCTGTGGCGTGAGAGAAGCCATCTTGGCGGCTGGCACGCACTCAGTAACGGCTAGTATTTACAGAATGAGTTCTTACTAAACAGAGGCAGTCGCAAGGTGAAAGTTCTCCCAGTGGCAGAAGACAAAACCCTCGCACGTGCGTGGCTTCCACAGCTTTTGTGCACCGCCCCCTATCGGCTCTCGACGAAGACGAGGGCAAGCGACCGAAACTTGGGCTTATAAAATGTTTGTGTCCGCTGCCAGGTTGTTCATGTCCTAACTCTACAAATAAGAAAACGAACCCTACACAGCCACCAAGTAAATTCTGGAAAGGCGGATCCGGAACACGGGCGTCCTCACCGCCACCACCACCTCGCCGGCCCGCGGCTCACTAGGGCGTTCTCAGCTGTCGCTGCGCGGCTCCGCGGCGGGCATCCGCCTCTGCACGCACCACCCCGTGCGTCGGTGACCAGCCTGCGCTCGGCCTCCAGGCCGCGCCCAGCGACGGGCGGGCAACTGAAGGCCGGTTCTGGCCTTCGAAATGTCGAAGGCCGTTAAGTGACTTCTGAACAGGGCCCACTCCTAGCCTTCTCTCTCGAGGCAGCGCCCGCTTCTCTACCCGAGAGTTCCATCATCCTTCCCGGGTTGGGCCCCTGTGACACCCCAGGGCCTCGCCAGCCCTCAGCCTCGCCTTTCCCGCCCTGAGCGCCTGCACGCACCGCCGACCTTAAAGGCCCGTGCACGGACGAATCCACGGGGCTTTGCTCCCTTCTCGCCTCCTTGTTCTTATTGGGTAGCCTCACCTTTTCCCCGCCCCAAAGATTTTGACTTCGTTAAGGATTGGGCCTGGGCGTCGTCCATCCCGACAGCTTCCCCCCTCCCCCATTCCCCGGCACCGTCCGCCGCCTTTTGCCCACTAGACCCCCAGGCCGCAACCCTCCCTTATCCCTTGCACTCCCCAACCATTCCTCGTCTGGGTGGAACTGGCGCACCTGGCCACGGCCCGAGCCTGAAAGGGACTGGCCCCTCCTCCTGCTCCAACCCCACCCACCGGGCCCTTCTCCCCCATCTCCCGAGCCTCGCGCTCCATCCCAGAGCGCCCGCGCCACCTCCGCCCGTCGCTCTCGCCCGCAGCTCAGACACAGCCGGGGCGCTCGGCAGAGCCCGCGGCGCGCGAGGGGCATGCGCTCCATGAGGGCTCTGCAGAACGCGCTGAGCAGGGCCGGCAGCCGCTGCCGGCGGGGAGGCTGGGGTCACCCGAGTCGGAGCCCTCTCCTTGGCGGGGGCGTCCGGCACCACTTCAGTGAGGCCGCGGCGCAGGGCAGAGAGCCGCCGCACATCCACCAGCCGCAGCGCCAGGATGAGTAAGGCTCGCGGGACAGGGGCCGGGGACAGGCTCGCTCCCACTCCCACCGTCCCCTTCCCCAGGGAGCGCATCTCTTCTCCCCCTTTCCTCGCTCAGTAGCCTGCGATGCCTTTCCCTTTAGATTTGGGGCTCTGGGTCCGCCGCGCTCGGGCGGTTAACTGCCGTGCGCCCGGGAGGGCGTTTGGGCAGGTCGGTCCTCGGGATGATGCCTGTCCAAGGTGCGTATTCAGCTAGGGGCGCAGTGGGTTTGGAGTGTTGGCGTGGTGCACGTGTCTGAGTGCAGGGCCGCGTGCGCGCGCGCGCCCACCCGTACCCTCCCTCACCTACCCGCGCCGCGTGTGTGTTTTGGGGGGATGCGTGAGTCTGGAATAGCCTCCTGCTTCGGGTGCAGGCGTACTTGGGGCTGTGTGTCCTCGGCAGGTAATGGGTGATGCGTGGGTATTATGGTACATGCGTGTGTGTCCGATGGATGCGTAACAGGGCCCCCTAATATATAGAATAAGGGCGGCTTTACAAATCGGTTGTCGATGATGATGAGACCAGTTCTAATGAGGAAAATCGTTGAGACGCAGGTTTCCCTGGCTAGGGCAGGTCAGTGCGGTTGTTCCTACTGCTCGGGCTCCCTGATTTAAAGGGTTCTCTTTCCGTGGGCGCTTCTTCCTCCGTGAGGCTGATCCTCCCTCTCCTTCATCACCCAGGAACTCTGGGTGATGGAGCCTTTTCTTTTTTCCCCTGAGCTTGAAATCCAGTCCTCCCAGAGGGCCAGCTAGACACTGTCCAAGTGGCCCCCCATCTGTGATACAGGAACAGGAACCGGCCATCTCCCCTGTCAATGCCGTTTACCTAATGACGCTGGGAAACATAGGCACACCGTAATCAAAGTCGGCAGGCTGACACAGCACACTGCCTCACCATCAGTGAAGTCCCTGTCCTCCACCGTAACAGACCAACAGATATTTATTACTAATAATCGTTATTATGCCACAGTTTTGCCATTAGCCTCTTCTCAGAGATATAGAACATTAAAAGGGTAAGCCCTCTCCCTCCTGTTCCAGCGTCCGCCCTAGCAATCACCAGGGGAGAAGTAATTTTGGGATACAGCTAAGACTTCACCTTCCTCCCTCTCCAAACCTTCTGTGGGGGAGCTAGAGGTACCCCTAGTTTTGCCTCCCTCCCCATCTCCTTGTCCAGGGGAATCCAGCGCTGGATGTCTGTAGGGGACTTGTTTCTACTTTCTGTGGCTGCCCGTTTCCCCAGGGAACCTCTCACGGCCTGGGACTGGTGCCCGCTGGGCAGAAGTGGGTGAGAACACCAGGGTGGTGGGCTCCGACAGCAAAGGAGGGCAGCAAAATGGAGATGCTGCGATTTGGTTCACTGTTTTGTTTGGGTTTGTTTTGTTTTTAAATATTTAGCTTTATTGTGTTTCTAATTTTAAGAGAAAACCAAGATAAATACAGAGTGTCAAGGAAAAAATAAAGATCTCAGTGTTACCGATAATCAATTAATAATGATATACCCATATATAGCCTATACATGTACGTGTATGCATGTAATTTAACAAAAATGGCATCCTAATATTCATGTTCTTTGGTAGCCTATCTTTTCTATTTCTCAACAGCTTTTACTGTCATTGAATTTATGTGTGTGTCACTTGGCATTTTTAATAGCTGCCAAAAAATGTTGAGGTATCACAACTTATTTAAACCAATCTTCCTTAAGGAAGATGAGTCATTCTTACCCGTTTTCTGTATGTCCATCCTTCCGAAATACCTTGTGCCTGAATAAGCAAGTGTATTTTTCCATCTTAAAGATAAGTAGTATCATACTATGTACACTGTTTTACAATGTTCTTCTTTTGGTTAATGTTACATCTTAGAGATAATTACATATCAATATAGCACTACCTAGTTTCTTATTTTATACTGAATGATATCTGTTATATGAATATACCATAATTTACCTAACCAATTCTCTACTGATGCACAGTTTCCAATCTTAATAACAATGCAGTGAGTAATTGTGAATATGTTACTTTGCAAGTATGTGAGTATACCTGCAGGATAAATTACTGGAAGTCAAATCATTGATTCAAAGGATTTTTATGGGTCTTAATTAGCTATCATATTTGGAAATGAACTGATAAAATAATTCCTCTAAATTGGTTATATTAATAGGATAACTCTTGAAGACCAAGAAGTCTTCAGTACCTAGAATTTTAGGTGTTATAAGCCAGTAGGGCCTTCCTAGCCATGCTACTTGGTAATTCTTACTGAAGACCCACTGTGTGCTAGGGACTTTGCTCAGTGCTAGGGAGACAAAGACCTAACAGTGGAGCAAGGGAGATTGCCCTGACACTACAATGGTCGCACAGTAGCAGAAGCAAAATCTGGAGGTCTGAGGAAGCCTTTATGGAGTAGGTGACATTTGAAAGGGACCTTGAAGGACAAGCAGGATCGTGCTGGGTGAAGGTGATTCCATGCAGCATTACCACGTAAGCAAAGGCCAGGAAGCCTTTTGGGGCGCCATCTGCAGTCTGTCATTACTGGTGGGGGGCACCATGGGGAATAGGAAAGGAGGGTTGGCAGATTTTAAAGAGCCTTAATGGGCCGATGTTGTGGCACAGTGGGTTAAGCTGCCACTTGTGCCAGCGCCCCATTATCAGAGTGCCAGTTCCCATGTCAAGTGTCCATTCAAGTCCCAGCTACTCTGCTTCCAACCCAGCTTCCTGATAATGTGCCTGGGAAGGCAGCAGATGATGGCCCAAATAGTTGGGTCCCTGCCACTTACATGGGAGACCCAGATGGAGTTCCAGGCTCCTGGTTGTGACCTGGCCCAGCCCTGGCTGTTGCAGCCATTTGGGGAGTAAACCAACAGATGGAAGATCTCTTTCAGTTTCTCCCTCTCTGACTGCCTGCATTTCAAATAAATAATTCTTTTTTTAAAAAAAAAAAAAAAGGAAAATTCAGAGATGGAAATTAAAAATAAATAAATGCCCATACCAAGAAAGAAGAACTTAGAACTTAGTTGTGTAGGCAGTATAGAGGTAACCAACGTTTTTTGTGTTTCTTCTTTTTAATTTTATTTATTTGCTTGAGATGCAGAGATAGAGTGAGCAATCCCTTTTACTGGTTTACTCCTTAAGTGTCCGCAATGGCCAGAACTCTGCAGGGCTGAGGCCAAGAGCAGGGAAGCTCAATGCAGTTCTCCCAAGTGGGTGTCAGCAACACAATTACTTGAGCCATTACTGTTGTCCTCTGTGTTAGTAGGGAGGTAGAATAAGGAGTCAGAAATGGGACTTGAACCCAGGCACCCTGATAAGGGATACTGGCATCCTAATTAGTTTCTTCCTTCCTTTTCCTTTTCTTTTCTTTCTTTTTCTCTCTTCTTTTTCTTTCATTTATTTGAAACAGAGAGAGAGAGAGATCGATCTTCCATCAGCTGGTTCCCTCCCCAAATGGCAACAACAGCTGGAGCTGGGCCAATCTGAAGACAGGAGCCAGGAGCTCCTACCAAGTCTCCCATGTGGGTACAGGGACCTGAGTATTTACGTCATTTTCTGCTGCTTTCCCAAGCACATTAGCAGAGAGCTGGATCAGAGGTGGAGCAATCAGGACTCTAAACTGGCACCTGTGAACTGCAACTGATACCAATGTTGCAGGCATCAGCTTAACCCACTGCGCCACACCATCAGCCCCTACCAATAGTTTTTTTTTTTTTTAATTTTTTTAAATTTTATTTTTTGGCAGGCAGAGTTAGACACTGAGAGAGAGAGAGACAGAGAGAAAGTCTTCCTTTTTTTGTTGGTTCACCCCCCAAGTGGCCACTACAGCAGGTGTGTTGCAGCCGGCGCGCTGTGCCGATCCAAAGCCAGGAGCCAGGTGCTTCTGGTCTCCCATGCAGGTGCAGGGCCCAAGCACTTGGGCCATCCTCCACTGAACTCCTGGGCCACAGCAGAGACTGGACTGGAAGAGGAGCAACTGGGACAGAATCAACGCCACAACCAGGACTAGAACCCAGGGTGCCGGCACCGCAGGTGGAGGATTAGCCTAGTGAGCCACGGCGCCGGCATACCAATAGTTGTTTGTTTGTTTGTTTGTTTTACAGGCAGAGTGGACAGTGAGACAGAGACAGAGAGAAAGGTCTTCCTTTTGCTGTT